CGGGCCATGGAACGGGCCGTCGGAAGGAGGCCGCAGGAGAGGGCAGGGGCCCAACGAGCCGAACCGTGAGCCGAACCGTGAGCCGCAGTTAGAGGAGAGGCCAGGCAGGGTCCAGAAGTGCGCCACCCACGGGCCGATGAAGGCGTGGGCGACGTCCGAAGATGTTGCAGAGGCGAGGGAAGAGGCCAGACAGGGTCCCGAAGCGCGCCACCCATGGGCCGATGAAAGCATGGGCGATGTACAAAACTGTCGAGGCGAGACAGGGTCAGGAAGTGCGCCACCCAGGCGCCGATGAAAACGTGGGCGACGTCCGAAACCGCCGTCGAGGTGGTGAAAAAGCGAGAGGGTCCACACGAGGCCGACCAGACATGATCGAACCTCCTCTAAGGCACCAAGGAAAAGCTCAAAAAGGTTGTCCTGTCCACGATCAAAAAACAAATGGGCAAAATTGTGAGAGGATCCACACGAGTTCAACCAGATTTGGTCGAACCTCCTCTCCGGCACCACCAAAAAGGGTTAACAGTCAGATGTTAACAGATGGAAGCAGTCAGCCGTTAGCTGCTAGCCGTTAGCTGTCAGTCGTCGTTAGCTGCTAGCCGTTAGCTGTTAGTCGTCGGTAGCTGCTAGCTGTTAGCTGTCGTCGTTAGCTGTGAGCTGTTATGTGTCCCGAAGAAACAGTTCCATGAAAAAGAAGTCTGGCTCTTCCGGGTCACCAGTGTAGTGCCGAGAGAAGGGAGTCGGAGGCGATGCATCGAAGGTGCAAAGTTGGCTTTATTAAGCAGCAGAAAACCACATGTTGCCGGGTCACAGCCCGGGAAGCAAAGAGGAATAAGCAAGGAGGGCACTCAATAAGTACAGTCAACAACATATATGTCCGTGCGGAAACAATACCCCCAACCTGTAGTTCCATGAGTGAATTATGATAAACAGTGATAAACAGTGATCACTACAATACACACTGCTCTGCTTTCTGCATGGACCTCAGAGCTGTTCTCTCTGTAAACATCGCGTCGCGATGAAAGCAGTTAATAAAATAATATCCAGGGGATGCATGCAGAGCTGTCATTGGCTGAAATCAGTCCGTCCGTGCGTCACGACTCTTTGAAACATTACTGTTGCCGGAAATACATCCGCGGAGGAGCCGTGGAGGACCCATCAGTGTATCCTCGATTATAGCTCCTCCAGAGAGCCTCCTCGACGCTCGACGCTCGATCCTCGGTCCTCGATGTGCATTTAGAGAAATGAGATGTCCTTCAACATGGCGCGCTGAAATCCATTTCCGGGTCACTACCGGAGGACCGAGGAGTCGAGGAGGGGGAATTGATGAAATGAGAAGCCTTCATTCATATTTTATTAACTGCTTTCATCGCGACGCGATGTTTACAGTGAGAACAGCTGTGAGGTCCGTGTAGAAAGCAGAACAGTGTGTATAATATATATCACTCAGTATAACAGGCCTACATTACTCTCTTTATTTGTATGCTTTAGTTTAGTAGATATCTACAAACAAAGAGTCGATATTTTTCTACAACCATTTAGTGCTTCACATAATAGAATACACAACGGCTATATCCTGATATATATTATATACTGATATATCCAGTCTCTGATTGTGTTACGTTATTATGAGAGTGCTCTCATACTTGCTTGATTCTGAAATTGTATATATTTATATAAATATATATGTGTGTATATGTCCGCATCTGTAGCCTGTTATTGTCTCATTATACCGCACTGTGAATGAATTAAAAGTAAATATATAAGTCGTCATGAACACATCTGTCCATCAGACAGAGGGCTGTGCCTCCTGTCATCATTAATGGACGTCTCTTTGAAATGACCGCTCAGAGGAGAGGATTTCTCATTTCTCTAAACGCCTTCTGGCCGTTTCTCAATCGCGAGGATGCTGGCTTGGTAGCACAGCCGAGCCGAGCATCTTGCTTCAGAAGCAAGGCAAGAATACTTCCTGGCATTCGGAAAACAAAGAGTGGAACAGGCTAGCAAGTGTGCAGGTGTGCGTCATATGAGAGGCCCCGCCTTACATCTTCCGCCACAGATTTGGGGAAATTGGTCCATGCGCAAAGCATTGTGGGGATTTTAAGGACGCGAAGTCTACCCATGTGCAGCCTCGAAATTTCCCCCAAACCAAGGACGCGGCCTCGGTGGAATTCCAAGTATGTTGGAGATTGGAACAGTCCTTCGGCGGCACTCGATGACGTAGCATCCTTGAAATATTGGCTTGGAAGCCAATATCCTCGCGATTGAGAAACGGCCACAGCTTCCACTCCTCTCTCCTCGGTTCCCCTCCTCGACTCCTCCGCTCGCATCTCCTGTGGGCGGGACTAAGACACGAGGATAGGAGTCGAGGAGGGGAAATTTGAGAATTGAGAAGCATTCATTGTACGTGATAGGCTAAGGGGCGGGACATCTCTAAGCGGTTGACCAATCACAACAGAGCCGGGTCATTCTACAGAAAAGGTGGAAGTACTGTCACTTACTTTTGCAGACACCAAAATACATGACGTTGGCCTAATACTCACATTCATTATATATGTTGAATAAATAGAGATTGTCTTTGCAATGGTACTAAATTAAAAAAATTGAAAAAATGGTTTTATACATAAATTGCAATTTATTTAAAATGCCAAGTTCAAGTAACTGCCTTGTCACTTTGATCATACATGGAAGTGGAGCCTATAGTTTTAATTTAAAGGGGACCTATCATGCAAAATGCACTTTTGTACGTCTTTTATACATGAATATGTGTCCCCGGTGTTCCAGGGAACTCACCAAGTGTCAGAAAACACAACCCTCTCTATTTTCCTCCATACCCAAATCTCTAAAAAAGGGGCTGCAACGGATCTGATAAAAACTGATCCAGATTTGAACACTGTCCTGACGTCAGGACGGTGGCGCTACGGCTATTGGGCCAACTCCACCAATCAGGAGGAGACAGCCACGGCCATTGCCGTTCGAAAGCGCTGGAGACGCTGTAGTACATATGCCAGGCCAGTAGATGATGCTGTTCTCACTGAATCTGCCCAGAGCTAGAAATTGTCAAATTGAGCAAAATGAGGCATGGCTAAAATGCATGATCTGTTTGGTATTTTGAAAAAAAAAAAGTATAAATATGCCTTATATAGGTATGGTCCTACACTATATTATTCAAATATAGCATGGTAGGTCCACTTTAAAAGATTTTTTTTTCAATAAATAAATCTCATTCATATTTACATAACATTACATACATTAAATATAACACTGAAATGGTAAAAAAAAAACGCAAATTATTATTAATAATATCAAATAAATGTCAGTCACCCAAAATTACGTAATTGGTGTTACTGCTACACAAAACGCTTTTATTTTTGAAATAATGTACTGTCTCTGAAGTGCTTCCTGTAACAAGAGATCCTTTGAGGCAGTGCAGTGGACAAAGACATAAGGGAAGTCAGATACTTCTTACTTTGTTTGTTAAATGTGTCATTTTATCTTCAAATGTCTTTCAAGTCTGTCATTAGTGTTACTCATTGCATAGCCCTAGGGGTGAACATTTGAATGGGAAAATGTATTGTATTGAAGAGTTAAACGATTTTGATATTGACTGAAGCCATATTTGGTCTGACACATGGCAGCCATTTGGTTAAAATTGTAGTTTTTTCTCCAAATTGTCACTGGTGTTACCGTCACTGGTGTTACTCTTCTTCCTGGTAACACGTAACACCAGTGACGTTCCTATATAAATAAGCTTTGTATAATGTATACAAATAATAAAAATAATAAAAATACTTTAAAGGTAAGTTTGAGAAACCGGCTCGAGATACACTTTTTGTTATATTCCATGGAATGCTCTTAACATCCCGATAGCAATGAATATCTTAAGTGCTTTGACAAAAAATCCATAACAAAATTTCATCTGTGGAAGCCGTAATACTGTAAAAAGTACGACCAATCATTTTAGCCGGCCCGGCTAAAATAACTAGATGGCCTACCTGCCTGTCAGCCTTCCATCTGTGCACAAACTCATCTCGTGCCCTCATTGGTCATGTGCGCGTTCGTGTGTGTTGGAGGAGGGGCTCTATAAGGAAGTGGCAGATTTTCTCCGGTTGTGTATTTTTTTGTGCCGGTTTCTCAAACTTACCTACCCTACATTTAAGCTCTACTTGTTGTGGATTCATCAAGTTAAGAGTTAGTTATTGCTATTTAACAGGTTTTAGATGTGTTTATAAGGAATATATTTCAGCAGATTTGTATCACCCAGATTCCACCTTTTCTGTAGAATGACTCAGCCGGCCAGCTAACCAATCAGAGCAGACTGGGCTCTGGTTTCAGACAGAGGGTGAAAAGAGGTGCTGCAGCACAGGCAGTATGAGAAAAATAAAGAGCTTTTTGAACATTAAATCATGGAGACATGTAGAGACACTAAATACTGATATGAACCTGATAATGAGCAGAATAGGGCCCCTTTAAGATATCCACAAAAAAAAGTAGTTCAAATTACAGATCATTAACTAGTTACTTTATAAATTCTGATTTTGAGACACAATAAAAACACTTTTACCTTATGATTATTTGGTATAAACCATCAAACATTATATTTCAGTGACTTAAACCACAAGTGCGGTAACAATAAATTAATCGGCGGAAATGTTGCTAAGAAGTTATTTGTTCAAAAATAGTTCACAGAATATTTTCTACTTTTGCGTTAAAATATTTAAATATATTTTTTGTTTTTTCTGCAATTAGTACTTCTACTGCCAATACTTTTAGTACATTTTCCTTATTGTACTTTAATACTTTTACTTAGGTATCACTCCTTGATGCAGTACTTTTACTGGAAATTAACTATTTCTATAGAGTGGTATTAGTACTTTTACTCAAGTTAAGAATCTGAACACTTTTTCCACCACTGTTTATATTGTCCAACCTTGGACAGAGGTTAGCTAGCTGCTTTTGGATGAAGTAAGCTAACCTTCAAACATGCTTTTATTTTGAAGGGACTGACAGGAAATGGAAGACTCGAATTTCCAGTTGCCAACTTTTTCCTCCGTGAAATTCCTGAAGTTTGTGTCTTTTGTTTGTGTGTTTGGACTAAGAATGAGTGGATATCTGCCATTATAATAGGCAAAAAGAGCTCCTAACCGCCGGGACACAGTGTGAGACAGCCGGCAGACTGAGAGCGGGAGATGAGAGCCGCCTTTCGGACATTTTCCAGCTTCTTCTGCAGGGAGTGAGCTCCTGATGGAAGGGACGGGGAGATAACAAGGAGGAGCTGAAGGAGCTAGCAGGCTGTTATGTGGCAAAACTGTCTTCTACTTCTCTGACAAAGACAACTCTTGAGCTGTGTTTATATTCTGTGGTAAGTTACTTTTGACCCATTAATGTCTGGCGTGGAACATTAAAACAGCGCTCAAACACGCTGGTTAGTCTAACGTTGATCTTAGACACGACCGTTAAGTGTTTAGAAACTCATGAGAGTCCAACCCTTTACACAGTCTGTGGTCCAACCACACCAAGAGTGACTTTTTTCACTAACTGTTCAACATTTTAATATGTATCCGTTATGTTCCTGGTTGCATGTTTGAATTTAACGTACTGGATAGACATTTAGTTTGTCTAACAGCAGCTTCTAATGCAATGCAATACAATACATAACTGTCAGTATTGATACACTACTTTTAGAATATGCGTTCCCTACAGGCAGTGGTGGAGAAAGTACTCAGATACTTTACTTCAGTAAAAGTAGAAGTACCACACTTTGTTTCCAGTAAAAGTTCTGCATTCATAATATAACTTAAGACAATTGACTTAAGTATTGCAATCAAAATCAAACGTTGCAAAAGTACTTATTGTGCCTAATGTGCCATTTCAGAATCATATATATTAAATTACTGGATTATCAAGTAATTTAGCAATAATGTGTTAAAGTAGAGCTAATTTTCATTTCATTTATATACTACTGCTGGGTATTTTAACTATATACTATATAGCATGGTATATTTCTTAGTTTATTTACATTTTGTCTAATAATCTGAATCTTTAAAGTAACAAGTTGAACATTTTGTCAAATTATTGTTGTATTACTTGTCTTTCAAATTGTAGTGAAGTAGAAATATAAAGTAGCATAAAATAGTACTTGAGTACATTTACCACATTACACCACTGGATTCAAACCAGTAACAGTACACTAGCTTCTAATGCAATACCTTCAGTGGTGGAAAGTAACTAAGTACATTTACTCAAGGACTGTACTTAAGTATAGTTGTGAGGATCTTGAGTATTTCCATGTAATAATACTACTTTATACTTTTACTCCACGACATTCAGAGGCAGATATTGTACTTTTTACTACATTTATGTAACACTCATAGATACTTTGTACATATAAAACACATGATTTGCCGATATGGTAAAATGCAGTACTATACTGCTAATATACACAGTATTTCAAGTATCTAAATGGCTCCACATTGACAAACTATAATACTAAAATGCTCTTACAGGTTTAAAAAAAGGATAATATATTAAACATAATAATATTTTACTGTGAAAATATCCATTCTGCAACAAGTACTTTTACTTTAGATAATTAAAGTATATTTAGCTGATAATACTACTGTACTATATATTATTCAGAAATAGCTAATTGTGCAGAATGATTACTTGACTTTTGTACATTTTGAAGCGAATACTTTGGTATTTCTACTTGAGTAACATTTTGAAATCAGGACTTTTTCTTGTTTTGGAGTACTTTAAAATCATAGTATTTGTACTTTTCCTTAAGTAAAGGATCCGAGTACTTTTTCCAACACTGCTTCTAATGAAATACAATACATACCTTTCACAACCTTAAGAATATATTGGTTTCCTATAGGCTAAGAGATTTGAATGTTGTGTAAACACGTATAGCAACATCAAATCTTTATCTGAATTAGTCTAAAGAGTCTGAATTTGGATTCAAATAATGAACTGTTTATATAGAAATATGCATATTTTTAAATCTGACGAGACAGAGCTTTCTGTAACTGTTACTTTTAATATTCTGTATTATATGACATGAGCATTATCTTCAATATCGTGATATTACGTAATACAATGATAGTAGAACACAGACTCACTTCTGCCTTTCTGCTGCGTAAACTATTCTACTGAAACACAAGTTGCCTGTTGTATCAAAAATTTGTAACTGAGTCTCTCTTTCAACTGACTCAAAAAATCCTAAGGAGCAGTATGGCAGTTTATCGCAATGTTAAGTAAAAATTACATTGTTATGATGAGGGAAAAATATATATATTATGCAGCCATGAGCATCACTCATTTAAAAAACACTTAATTAAGAATTTTAGATCCTCTCTTGAATGTTTCACAAAATGGAAAAGTGTTTTACAATCCTACCCGATCTACCTAATGTTTTATCAGTTATATCCGTTGAGATTGCTGTTCCACAAATCCATCTATCTGGACTGGAAATAGTCACATCTTGGGAAATCGGTTTTCACACTGGCAGAAATAAAGCTGCTGGAGAAATTCAGATTGGGTATTTGTCTTGGCCCGACGGTAAGGACTTCCAGCAAATTGCTAAGAACTCCAAATTCCCAGAATGAGCATTAGGGCTAGGCAATATGGATTAGAAAACAAATCTACCAAAATGTGTTACAATATAGCTCATTATCGTTATCCAACTTTGTTTGGGTTGACCATTGTTACTTAGACAACATTTTTTATTATTCATAAAAAGTCAACAGAAACAAGAATCGAATGAAAAGTAAAAAGCAGATAATAGAACGGCTAGAAAAGTTTGTTAAATACAGAAAACTGACATCACTTTGATGTAATGCATCCTTCAATACAAGACAAAAACCACATTTATTTGAACATATTGCACATTCTAATACAATATCTTGTATCGGATAACAATACTGATAGTACTTACCCATCCCTAGCTGCAGTCCTGATTGTAGATAGCTTGCAACATCTTGTTTTCCTACATCCACATCATTACAATCATTTAAGACTCTTAGCATTATGCCTCATGTTTCATAGAAAGAGTGCTCTGTAAAGACTTGAACCCGTATACTTGTCTTTAAAGATGGAGGGGGAGAAGGAGAGACAGCGGCAGCAGGGGGAGGAGAAGGAGAGCAACGAGGCGGAGGACGACCGGAGGAGTGATGAAGACGCCGACAATGAGGAAGAGGAGGAGGAGGAGGATTCAGAGTGTGCGGCGATGGTGTGGCAGGAAGGCTACGGCGAGGACAACCTGGGCCTTCCCATCATGCACTGGGAGGCACTGAGCCTGCGCATCGCTGAGCTGGAGAAGCAGGAGGAAGAGAATAAGGAGAAGAGGGCAAAGGTCAGCGGGTGTTATCTGGGAGAGGGGGGGTTTAGTGCTGGGAACTCCCACTTTTATTGAGGGTCATAGAACTCTCCTGGTTCTAGTTAGGACTGATGCAGCCTGTTGTTATGAGAGTTTCTCCTACTTAAGAGGCAACACTCTGGATCAGAATCAGGCTTATTGCCATGAGGGGTTTGTAGAAAAGTATGGAGCTAAATCTGGGCCAGAATGATAGAATATTGTCATTGCTCTTTTACCGTCAGAGTTGTGTGTAGAAAGTGTTGAGCAATATTTCCTACAATTCCTGAAGGCAACATGACTACGTAAGGCCTGTCACTCAAGATTCCAAGCCCCTCTCATTTAAAGCCCGCCCCCACTCAACATCAGGGCCATAAGTCTGAAATTAAAAAATTAAAAAAGGATCTGAATGAAAAAAAAAATACAATTTGATCATGAAAAATCTGAACGAGAAAGAAAGGAGGAATCAAACATCAAAATATAAATAAAAGTGAAATATGATTTTGCTAATCTGAATCAAAATAATACTCAACCTGAAATAACTTTTCAAATACTTATTTTTTTGTTGGAGTTCATCATTTTATTTTTCTAAATTCAGGATCAAGCCTTCTAAATACATTACATCTTTTCCAATGATCAAAACGTTTTGACCCAATTCAGCTCTGCTAAAAAGGAACACATGTAATTACTAATATAAAAACGATTTAAAAAATGATTATAAAAAAGAAAAATTCAAATAAATGTTAACATGAAATACTGAGTTACTCAGACTTGAATTATTATTGAATCCTTTTCCAGAATTGTTTTTATTGGACATGATGCTATTATTAAACAGTCATTCTAAAGAAATGGCAATCACAGAAATAAAAAGACCTCAAAATAAATCCCATTGTCCCCCCCCCACCCCCCTGTAACTCTCCTGTCTTCAGAGTGGAGTTTCTCTGGAGCGAGGCAGAGCTCCGGTCAGCTGGTCGGAGGAGAGAGGGAGGAGGTCAGAGAGCTGGGCGGAGGAGAGAGGGAGGAGGTCAGAGAGCTGGGAGGACGGGGACGACGCCTGCAACAGCCACGTGCTGGCTCTCACCTCCAGGTACACACACACACACACACACACACACACACACACACACACACACACACACACACACACACACACACACACACACACACCTCAACACAGCCGATTACTCATGAGCATTGCATCATGTGTGTGATGTCATTTGGGATTGGTGTGTATCACCTCTTAGCCTGACACCCCCAAAGCTAACTGTAGCGCTTTGGTGCGTGAAGTTGAGAAAGCATAAGAAGAAATCTAAATCTAGTTGAACTGGAATACATTTTCATTTTGAGTGTCTCAATTAACTTTAAAGGACCCATGTCATGGCCATTTCCACTGATCATAATTCCATTGTTGAGGTATACTAAAATAGATTTATACTGTGCAATTTTCCAAACTTACATTGGTTTCTCATACAGCATCTCTGTAAAGTATGTGTATTCAGCAGTATTCACTCTCTCCACTAAACGGCTCGTTGGAGCTCTTGCCCCCCCCTCCCTGTGAGCCTAGTGTGCTCCGATTGGTCAGCTCGGCCACTCTGTTCTGATTAGTCAACCACCAGAGAGGCTCCGCCCATGTTTAACAGTGCTTTTTTCGGCTCGATCTGAGCGGAACATCAGTCTTATAATGGCGTCGGTACAGCCGTATATTTGATACGCTAACTAACCGAACTGTACCTACAACTGTTGTTATAGAAGAGTAAGTTATTTTTACCTGTAATAAACTACTACTGTTTGATGAGAAATCAAATCATGGTTTGCTATATATGAATGATATGTTATAGGAGCAAATAATTCAGGGAAGAAAGGATAGGCCTACTAAGTAAACTTTATTTTTAGAAATGTACAAAATGAACATAAATATACATATATACACGGTATATCATCCATTCCTCCCCGTTGTCGGCATCTTGCCTATCGCAGCCGGGGCTTTTTAGGACGAGGCATCAGTGTGGTAGTCCCGTCCCCGTCATGTATTGTCCGGCAGGATCTGGCTGGACGAAATCAAATGCAAATCACAAAATATTAGAGAAACTTAGTTGTTTTAGATTCGTTAGTAGTAGTTGTGGTAGGAGTGTGGATCTATCTAATCCATCCATCTAATCAACACAGTAAGCTTTCCAGCTAATATGCTAACCTAGCTTTCTTGTTTACCTTGGTAGCAAACACGATATGAACGGTAGCTCGGAGGAACGGCAACTATAATGGAGTGTAATAAAACTACTATGAACAAAAGCTAGTGGTTCATATTAGGCTAGCAATAACGTGTTTATAATTGCAATCTTATACGGGTAGTCTGCTACGTTCGGTCATACATTGTAACTGGCATGAATACATTGTTTTCCGCTAGCATGTATAGCTAGCCTCGTTAGCTATACATGCAGTATGTACATGTACTGTCACAATGTACGGTAAATCACCCGGAGTATACTGTATGAGTATTCCGTGTGTGACTGCAGACATTCTCCTGCCATGACAAACATGTAAGGCCATCTGCTGACATTGTAGTTGATATATTTAATCGCTAGCAACGTCGTTAGCCCAGTAAGCTGGGCTTGTTTAGTGTAATAAAACCACTATGAACTAGCTAGTGATTCATATTAGGCTAGCAAGAACGTGTTTACAATTGCAATCTTATACGGGTAGTCTGCTACATTCATTGTAGCTGGCATAACAAAAATGTTTTCCCGAGCAAACCCATGGCTAGCTCCGTTGGTTAGCTCGGTAGCATACACGCTACGCCAGCTATAATGTAATTACGTTTCGCGACTGACCGTACGATAAATCACCCGGAGTATACTGTCTGAGTATTTCGTGTGTGAATGCAGACATTCTCCTGCTATGAGATGCATGTATGTAAGGCCATCTGCTGATATTAGAGTTGATATATGGAAATGCTAGCAACTTAGTTAGCACAGTTAGCACTGTGTCAATGGCTTAGCAGTCCGACACAGTTTACACATTTAAACAGTCTTCTTTGATAAATACACAAATAACAATGCAAACTTACAGGTTGTGTACCCGAATCTTCCCCTGTTCCAAACGGTCCAAACAAACTAGGAATAGCATCGTCCTTCAGTTTCAAATGCTGTGCATATCCGGCCTCAAACTGGGCAATGTTTTGGAAGCTTTCGTCTGTGAAATGCCGCGCACACAGTAACGTTCTTCGAACCTCTGAAGGAACAGTGTTAAAAAGACATTTCAACCACTGACTTCGTCGTGGTTCTTCCGTCGGTAGGACAAACAGCTCAGATTTCTCCTCACATTTCAGGAAACAGGTCCTTGGCAGTGGCATGACTGGATCGATTGTGAACTGAACCAGAGCTTCCAACAGTAAATGTTAGGCTGGCAGAGGGTGCGGCCAGCGCCGCTGGGTGTGGCCATAGCTCTTCCGGATTGGTCCATTTTGTTCCGGGTACCGCATGACATCATGCGGTACCCGGAAGAATCAAATGGACAATGACGTATCTCCAACGAGGCGTTTTGGGGAGGTATTTTCTGTGTTAGAGTTTTACTCGCTACAGGGTGTACTTTGAGGGTTTTGACTCTGCACACCGTTTACATGCATAAAAACCTTCATAACACACAAGGGGACGGGTAATAACCGGAAAAGCATGACATGGGCCCTTTAATACAGAGCAGATTAGTCGCTCTAAAGTCCCATTTAAATATATAAAAGTCAGTGAAAGTAACATGATATGTTTCTATTGATCTACCTGTTATAAGCAACAATAATCTGCATTTTAAATTCATCGTAATCTATTTTTTATGTGAGGACAAATGGCAACTGAAAAAGTTGAATGAAACAGAACGAGCTACTCTTTCTGTAGTAAGTCACCACTCTGTAGTCTCGCTCGTTGTCCCGCCCACAGCACCATCTGATTGGTGGCAGACTACGAGCAATAGCCAATCAACACTGAGGTCTACTGTGCCAATTGAACAGTACCATTGGGCCTCATGATCAAACAAAGTGTTCCCTCTCTCTTTCTTGGTTGATGCACGACTGAACGATCTTAATGTGCAGTGAAAGAGTTTTCCATGTATTATAATGCTCAGCAAAACATCTTTAAAAATGAGTTATATTTAAAAAAGCTATGCGGTGTTGTAATGCTTTGGCTCCAGTCTTGAAGGGCTGCAATAATGTCTGCAGGCCACCAGATGTAGCTGTGTATGCTGCGTTTGAAACCCCATGGTTTGTATATTTGACACTTCTCCCACTTGTGTTTGTTTCCTGGGGCATGATTGTATCTGCTGTGTATCCTCCAGGCTGCAGACCCAGATGAACCTTCAGCTGTGCTTCATCAACGACAGTGAGAGTGAGGAGGAGGAGGAGAAGGAGAGCGACATCAGTAAGGAGAGCAGCACACGGGTAACTAACGGCAGATCCTCAAACAGAACACAGTGTAGATGAACCTGCTGAGCCTGTGGTTGGTAACCTGTTGCCCCCCCCCCCCCACCCCCCCTGCTGATCCAGAGAGGGACGGTGCAGGTCCAGAAGAATCCTCAGCCTGCTGCCAAGCTGGAGAAACCAAAGTCCAGAGGCTTCCGGAACACTCTGAGGAACCTGAGGGACAGACTGAGAACGGACCACAAGACCCTGGTGAGAGCCAAGACCCTCTTTCATTCTGTCCTTATTTCCTCTCCCTTTCTTCTCGCACCTCTTTTCCTTGATCCCACCTTCACATTGTTTGCCTCTCATTTGCTCTACTCTCCTCCTTTCCCCTGCTTCTATCTCCTCTCTTTCTTCCTTTCATCCTCTCCTCTCCTTTCCCCTCTCCTTTCATTCTCTGCTTCTATCTAGTCTCCTTTTCTCTTTTTATATCCTTTCCTTGATCCTCCCTTCTCATCTTCTACCTGTTCTCTCCTTCCATCCTCTGCTCTCTCCTCTCCTTTTCTACTCTCTCCTCCTCTCCTCTGTCCATTCATCCTCCCTTCCTCCTCATCTCTGTCTCCTCTTTCTGTTCTCTTTGCTCTCATTCTCATCTGGACCTCTCCATTCATCCTTTTTATTATCATCCTCATCTCTTGTTGCCTCCCCTTTCCCCACATCTCCTTCCATCCTCTTCTCTACTCCCCCCGCTCTATTCCGATCCCTCGTTCCTCTCTCATCCCTCTCTCCTCCCTCTCTCCTCCCCCCCCCCCCCCCTTCAGGCTGCAGCTGGTAGTGATCCTGAGGTCCAGAGAAGACATGTGGAGCGCAGTGATTTAGAGAACTTCAGTCTAAAGGACCTGAATGCTCTCTGTACGTCTCTCAGCAAAACCATACAAGGTACACACACACACACACACACACAGTATACACTGACACTAACCCACCCCACAAACATCATCTTTTTTTAAACTGAGTCCTGTATATATCCCTACCTCTCTTAAAATCTGACATATTATATTCAAAGTGGAGAGCGTTGTGCAGATTTAAAAAGAGGTTGTGTGGACACTTATTTCCTCTTGTTGTTTATGTTTGCCCAACCATACACCAAAGCTAATTCCTTCTGTATGCACCTGGCAATAACTCCATGCTGACTCTGAATCTGTGTCTTAATGAAACTGCATTCTAAACGTATGATTCTGCATGTGTCCCGTCAGACCTGAGCTCAGACCTGGTGGGCCGCCTGCAGGCGCGGGACCAGCTGAGGACGGAGCAGGACGCCATGCTGCTGGAGGTCCAGGATCTGACGTCACTGTGAACCCCCCCCCCCCCCCCCCCATCACTCCCAGTCTTTATGTCCCACAAACATTTGTGTGAGAACATTGCTGAGAACCAGACGGTGCCACAGTGGCTCCACAAACATCTCAGTCAGCCCCGCCCCATGTGGGTCTGACCAGCCAATCACTGTGAAGAGTGTCCCTCCCTGAAAGACATTCACTTGCATTCATATGTTATCATCTCCTTTTTTAATTTATAAAGGGATTTATGTCTCACACACCAGAAGTGGTTTAAAACTCCCATGCGACAGAACCAGCTTGGTATGGTCGTCATGGTAACCGTGTCAGAGCCGTATGGTACGGTCATTAGCATCAAAGTGAATGGGACAACACCCTTAAAGGAACAAGCTGCAATATTTCTTGGGAAATATGCTTTTCCTGCTCCGAGTCAGAAAATAAGTTCTAGTTTCATCTCCTCTTCCTCCGCATACGGTCTGATTATTCCGACACTTCTTGAATGCAGCACAGAAGCCCTATCACGCAGAAGTGAAACAACCTTTTGGAGGGTGGGTTCTTCCTTGGCCCCTGCTACACCCTTCCACCATGTTTCTTAAAAATCGGGGCTTTAGTTTTTCTGACATCCAGCTAAAAACATCACCTCCTGGGTGGAGGGACAAATGCAAAGGGAAACATTTCAATAGATTTTGCACATGAAAAATGCACATCCAGTCAGAGCCGTAATTGTACACTGCGCTCTATTTAATTGAACTGTTGTGCACCTGGTCAGCATTGGAGTCTCTCTGATAAATCTTGATGAGAGGCTGTTGTGTTTGACGTTGGATCTTAATTGATATTTTTGTAATTGTTTACAGAGTAACTCAATACATGTGGACAAGGAATGTGGCGATGCAGTTTAGTAACGTCCTCACACAGACACCGATTTTTGCTAGCAGAATGTTTAAAAATAAAGAACCCCCCGAAAGTGTTTGCTTTGATTTTAGAGAAACACATACGATCTGACTCTCCTAGTTGCTATCACGTGTAACTGCAGACTCTGAGTTGTAACATGAGGGGGCTCTTTCATCAACGATAAATGTTTATCTAAAAACTGCAATTCAAAAGGGACTTTTGTTAAGAAGCTGCTAGTTCTGCAAACCGAACAATGTCTTTATTTTGTGTTGTCGTGTTCTCTGAATGTTTTCAGATTTCGTTTTTTTAAGGTGTTTTTAAATCTTTGTGTAGGCTTTTTAAGGGGACTTAATAAAGAACTAAATGTGGTCTAATGTACATCAAATGAAGCACATTTTTAAGTGCTTGTCTTTGGTATGTAAGGTAAGATATTTTAATCTTTTTTTAATCCAATCACCTAGTTTTGGGACGGTCTTGGCACAAGTTTTTGATGTTTTGTTTTGTTGTCGCTGTTAAACTTCCATTAAATACTTTATGTACACACAGCAGCTATCTCATGATGTGCTTCACAAGTGAACATTCACCTTAGCCTAACAGAACAAGAAATATTAACAAAGTAGAAGCTATTTAATTTAAACAAATGTATTATGTTGAATTTGCCATGGGAACAATTATAGGACAGCTAATGTTTACCCCACAAGAAACCAGCAATGTTTTAATATCAGCAGCATTTATTCTGCTTCTATACAAAGCACCAATATTGTGGACCACGTGGCTGGTATTTCAAGTTTCTAAGGGCTATGACGCAGTTAGAATCTGTTGGCCCCCAACAGCTGAGTCAGCGTAGTGTCTGGCTTTAATAGATGTGGGTGGACATCACTCCCTTTCATTATTTTGGAAACAGAAATTCATTTATTTAATTCCAGTCTCATTCTTGTACTCAGTGTTTACATTGTTTTTATGCATGTCAATTTGCTAAAAAATAAGTGTAAAAACCGGATCCTATTAACATTCTTGTTCTATTTTCAAACTAATGTAAAGAAAAACATGAATCCTGTCACCCAGTCTTGTATTAATCTGTGTATTGAGAAATCATTGATTGATTGCACGATCTAATACTGTGTTATTCATTTTGATAGTGGTTCAACTATTTTGTTTACATTTGATCATGGATTGAGCCTTTTAAATAAAGTATTAGTCCATCAGTTTCAGAGAACAACGTGTGTGAGCAGATTCTTTACGCTGAGCAGGTTTATCTGCTTGGGTGTGTGTGTGTCTGTGTATGTGTATGTCACATTGTGGGGACACGTTCCTTTTTGGGGACAGGTCCCCATAATGTAAATCCTTACATTCTGAGAGGAATACTTCATTTAAGGTTAAGTGAGGGTAAGGTATGTGAAATTGAATTTCCTCTAAAGTGATGGAACCACTTTTTGTGTGAGTGTGTACTTGTTTGTGTGTGTTTCTGCTTTTGAGACATGTCAGTGTTATGTTGAAATAAGGATCCAATTAGAGAATGTTTTTGATCATCAAAGATTTTTTAAATATTTACATCTGGCTCTGTGAGTAGATTTTGTATTGTGTTTTTTTCTCATGATAATAATTGAAAATAGATTTTGGCTGCGAATTTGGTTATTTTTTTAATGGGCTACAGTGTATTTTTTTTTTTTTGGGAGGAAAGTTTGGGCAATGGAGTCGCTATTGGTCACTCCAACAAATTTAAAGAGTGTATAATTGAAGATCAGTGTAAGTATACAGTGTGAATACTGAACGCCTACCTAAATGTACATGCATTGGTGATTCCCATTCATCTGTGTCCTCAGGGTGATCAGCCGCGACTGAAAAACATCCAGCTCAGCTCAACAGGTGAGAAGGGACGCACACACACACACACGTCACACACACACACAAAGGTGAAGTGGGGAAGAAGAATTGGATGACACACAGTGAGGGACAGGGGGAGGGACTGCATTACCATAGAAACTGCCTGTACTGTTCAGAGAAGCAGCAGAAAAAGGTGAAAGCTGAAGAGGTCCAACTGTCAAGGTCACAGATCACCAAACCGCTGCCACACTGACCACTGCTCATCAGCTGTTTGAAATAACCAGGAAAAGGTGTTTTGAAGCCGTTGACATACAGTCAAAATCTTTTGGATGTTTTCGTACTTTCCTGTTTTTCCCCCGATTGTCCCCAGGAAAAGGAGCCATATGGAGTGAAAGTCATCGCCGTCTGAGGTAAGCTCTTTGTCCGACAGCAGATTGCAGTGATGCAGGTATTTATGAGTTTGGTGCAGGTCCCTTTACACAAACACTAATGCATCTCTCGAGACACAGGTTATTTTGGGTCCTGAGTGTTTGCTTGAGAAAACTAAAACCATTTTGAAAGATTAGTATAGTTGTAACTAACTTTAATTACGTTACAAACTTGCCTCTGAGCATTTCTTAATGAGATTAAATATATGGATTTAGAGGCAGATGATGCGTCAGGATGGAGAGGGATTTCCCAGAAGCTATTAGCTGCTCCTGGAAAACAACCTCTTTCATTTTGTCATGCAGTCCAGAAAAGAAGAACATCCATTCCCAGAGATTTGAACTCAACACATTCATATCAGGCCAAAATATCATAGAAATGTATTTACTTGTATTTAAAACGTCCTTTTAACACTACAGTTGAATAACTTCCCTTTTGGTCAACACTTGTGCATTTCCATAGCAGCAGGATGTGATCGCCTTTCAAATCTAACCTCTGTGTAGAACATACAACTTAAATAAAACGTTTAAACTTCACACCTTTCTCAAGGAGATCAACATATTTTCATACTCAATTAAAGAGAGGATTTCAAAGACCTTGAAAATTCCCGACAAATGTAATATTGTGATTTGTGGTAAGTGTTACCACCATTTCAAGCATCCATTTATTTCTGTGTGAAATCAATCTATTAACAGACTCTTAAAACAAGCTTAAATAGTTCAATCCATTACAGTGAAAAGCAGATATTTATTACATTTTGTAAATCAGTGCTTTACAATCAAATTAAAATGCCATTTCAAATGTTTATATTGTATCGAAATGAATGGAAGTCAATGGAGACATGGAATGAAATAAAACGATTTATTCAAAAAAACTTTCTAAAAAACATGATTTGCTAAAAGGTTAGCTGTTATGCAATTGATGTATTTAATGTTACTTTGTTACTAGTAAATTGGCTAGAACACACAAAATATTGACTTCCATTCATTTTCTCTAATGTGAATGTGATGCATTATTGTATGATTTTGTCGGTGATCAAAATGGAGGCCAAACCTAATATCTACTGATATATTGTGCAACTCAAGCAATTCTATAAAGTCTTCTAAACATCCCAACATTGAAAACTATGCATTCAAAAATGTTGTAGTTCAAGATCCTGGTTTATTAAACTGGTACACAATCTGAGGTAAATGCTTGTCTAAAATATTAATAGGGGCCCATTTCATTAATCATTTACAGTTACACACCAGGAAGCAGGTCTGTAATGTAATACTGTTTTTTTAGCTCAGAATCATTACCTGTCTCAGGTTGTAGGATCATGTTTAGGGTAGAGGCTTTAGACCTTTCACATCTTAAAGTATGATGTTGTACTGTTAATATGTCATGGTACTGGTTGACACATTACCCTTATTTAGTTGAACTCTGAGGTGAATTGGGAGTATAACATGCGGGTTGCTCACTTACACAAACAGGCTGCACCACCTGCCTGCGCACTGATCCTAATAATGATGGTGAAAGAGAGCTTAGCCTAAGTGAATCCTGTTTACTTAGAAAGTTTGACAATTGTAAAGTCAAGTTTATTGACTTATTGATCATGTGTCGCACATCATTCATACAACAGGTGTTCACCAAATATCCCTTAAAATGATAGAAAAATAGGTTAACATTTTTCCAAGACAAGATACAAAAAGGATAGCCTTTATTAAGACAAGATAGTACAATAAAAAGGGAACAAGATAAGCATCATTGTCAATACATGTTGTGGTCTGCTTCTGTAAAGAGTGCACCGTTTTAGCAGACTTGTTTAGTGAAGAATACCTTAATGACTGAAGGCACCATCACTTGATCAAGTCCATTCAACGATTGTATAGCATTCTGAATAAACCGCAGATTATTTAACACCTGTGTTGTCAGCTCAGCAAAAAGTTCATTACAGTAATCCAGAAATAAATGCATAAACTGAGACAGGAAGCATCTACGACAGCACTGATGAGTTATAGTAAATAGTCAGGGGGGTGAGAGCAGGACCAATGTACAGAAGGGTGCATGGAGACATCTAGGGGAAGTGTGGTTACTTATTGCTGAGTTAATGGGGTGAGAAGAGACTGAATCAGCAGCATACCCTTGTACACAGGAAGGCAAACAAGCACTAAGAATCAACAGCGTACAGCAGGAGGTCAAACAGATTGCGCAAAGGCCTTACTCAAAAAGGGGGGAGGGCGGTAGGGTCTCAGTTGGAAAATAAATACTATTCATGATCTAAGATCCTAAAACGGTAAAGATGGATTACTAATTTGTGTTTTTATCTCTAGGTATCCATGGGATTGACCAACTGAACTCATCTCAAACCCTGCTGATCAGGATCATACAGAACTACCAACAGAGTACAATAATGTCAGAGAGCATTGACAGATCCCAAAGTGTACCAGACACCGTCTTGATCAGCTTCTCCCTTCCATGAACATCTCTTCATCCCTCACAATGCCATCCAGAAGTGGAGATCCTCCCAACGTCAATGACTTACTCAACTCCTCCTCTTCCTCCAGCACCGCCCCACCTCCATCTTGCAGCATAGACGAGTCCTACAAGTACATCTTCCTTCCCATTTGTTACTCTTTCACATTCCTCTTCAGCATTTCCCTCAATTCTATCATCCTCTTCCGTTCCTTCCGCCGGACCAAGCGTTGGAATGCGTCCCTGATCTACATGGTGAACCTGGCCTCCACAGACTTCATGTATGGCCTGTCACTGCCATTCCTCGTGGCTAGTTACGTCATGCGTGACCGATGGGTCTTTGGGGACTTCATGTGCCGCCTGGTCCGTTTTCTCTTCTACTTTAACCTGTACTGCTCCATCTTCTTCCTCACTTGTATATCTGTCCACAGGTACTTCGGTATCTGCCACCCAATGAAAGTCATCACACTAGAGACCAAGAAAGCCGTCAAGTCCACTTGTGTCGTAGTTTGGGTGGTAGTGTTTGCCTTGACCTGCCCTATCTTCCGGTTTGCTCAGACTGGTCATGTGACAAGATTTGGACGGCTTGGCGGCAATGCAACTGGTATTGACAACCCAAGCCACGAAGTGTCATCCATGAATGGTAATGCCAGCGATAGTAACACGGGAGGGGTCATCGAGGAGTACCAGAACTGTTGGGACGACGCCATCGATGAGGAGTTCCCTGATTACGTGCCCTATGGCATGGTTCTCCATTTGCTGGGATTTTTTCTGCCTTTTTCCATAATTGCTTGGTGTTACTCTCACGTTGTTCTGACCATATTTAGGACTCTGCATTCACAACCTTCGTCCTTCAGAGATCGGCGAGAGAGAGGAAATGGAGGGGTAGAGAGAAGCAGCCGTTCAACAGTTGCCAGAGGAAAAGGAGGAAGCAATGGACTGTCGAGGACATTCGGAAGAGGTGAAGGGACTTCCATGTTCCTTGGTGCCCACTCCCCTTATGCCAATCGCAGACGGAAATCTATCAGGACCATCATCACCATCACCCTCCTCTTTGCTCTGTGTTTCTTCCCCTTTCATGTTACTAGAACCATCTTCCTCCTGCTGAAAGTGACCAAGGGAGTCCCCTGCCACACCATGACCATGGTCTCCATGTGCTACAAGATCACCAGGCCTTTGGCCTCATTCAACGCATGGCTGAACGCCCTCCTTTACTTCCTGACTAAAGACAAGGGGGGAGGTCACTGTTGCCCGGCGGTCAACACCAACACTCATCATCATGGTGGGCTCCTACTGCCCCTGAGGGTGATGGGGAAAAGAGAGCACGCAGAGGAGGGTGGGCTGGAAGACAGAATTGACAATAAGCAGAATAAAGAATTTCACAACAGTCCATCATACATAAACAGAGCGAAAATCAGATATATAATTGAGTGAGTGTTTTCATGGGGAATTAAATCAATAATTGTAGATGCACTGTAGATGATTTTTACTTTTAAAATATATAATATGCTTTATAAGAAGACCCAAGCAAGAATTCTAATATGCCTTTTATGTTTAATTGTATGCGCCGAATGCTGATCTGCTACAGGTTTGAAGATACCCAGTGTAGATGCAGCATGTAGGCAAGGGTGATAGACTGTAATCTGTGTTTTAGATACTATATTGGGAAGAACCTAGAAAGTGTATTGTACAATATGAAATCAAACCACGTCTAAAGAGAAAGGTGTTTCTACTGGTTCTGTTACAAGAGAGAGACCAGGAGCAAATAGCAGTCAAATGGGAATATCGGTGCACACTTAAAGAAAGTCTCTCCAGCAAGGAATTCAGGGGGTTGTATGAAGTACACAGCAATTGACAGAAGTAGTTTTGCAAAGGGTAAAGTGTAGAGCTTGAGAGAGACATTCACACCTTTTCATGCCTTGCCAGTTCCTATTTTACAGTGGGTGTGCACGTTGGTTTGCAGGTTTGAGGAAGTTACAAATATGGTTGTGGTCGAAAGTTGTTTGGTTTCAGATGCTGTCATGGCAATGTGTTGGGCAAGCTCTACTGTTGTTGTGGTGTGACATTCCATATGTAAGTGTTTTGTGAGTATTCTGTTGCCATTCTGTTGGTGCAGTTACCTTCACCTTTCATTTCATTTAGAGAACCTTTGAGATTGTAAAACATTTACCTCATAATTCACAGTAACGCTTGCCATTTCAGTGAACCCGTACCTCAATGGTATTTTAAGATAAGATATTTTTGCGCACAAGGGAGTGCAACACCTTGGTTTTCCTTCAAATACAGACTGCCAGTGAGCTTGGTTATACCCAGCTGTCCCATCTTTCCACTCGTTATGACATGCTAATTATAATTCTTAATCCTTTAAACTTATTTAAACAACATTTTCTGTGACCTAATTAGTACGTATTTCACCACCTCTGCAACCGACATCATTTATAATTTGCTTTCATGAATGAAATAATTGATTTGTGATTCGTCCATTCAACTTTTCCAGAGTTCACTGTTTTTTTGTAATTTTCTCTTGTCCAGACTTTTTCTGATATCTGGGGAAAGCCTTAAAGTTGTTCAAAACACTGCCGCTAAAATCCATCTTTACATTCGATACCGTTCCGCAAAACCTAGCTGCATCTCAGATCTTATATAAACCTGTCTACTTTTAGTAGTCTGGATGATTTCTCATGCATTCAGAGCCTTTTCCTTCCATAGTCCATACCTTTTTGTTTTGTCTTTACCATTGTAAAACTTGTTGATGTTATTATGTATCACTATCTTATTCTACATTATATTCTCTAAATGAACTATTAATGCAGTTTACAGTGTTAGTACCTTTTCTAATATTGTTTTTCTGTAAATATGATACACTTTTGTGTGATAATGCTTTTAAATAAATCTAGACCTGACTTTAACTGAAGTGTTGTAGAGATTGACAGTTTACTTGTTTGGTGGCACTAGATGAAATGAAGCAGCAAACACTGGAGATACTGACAGTATGGTACAATTTGATCTCAAATTCTTACCTCTTCCAATATAATTAAGCAATTAGTTCGATTTGACTATACAGTAAGAGATACACTTGCTTTACCAATTATATCATATCAATGAGAAAGTCGTATAATGAAATATGCATGCAGTGTAAACCATTGAGTTCTGAATAAATGTTGAGTTTTTCCTGCCTTATGAAGGGTTAAGTCTGCTTGAATTAGTAAATCTGATTGTGCATTGTGTCTTTATTATCCAAACACTGTTATTCGAATAAGAATATCCTTCCCTTATAATATTCATTTTGGATATAACTCATTATAACCATTTACCATTATTCATTTTGCACTCTTGTTTCTGGTGCCCTCTGCTGGTAAAAGAGGGTATTTACCAGGTCACTTTATAAGAACTTACTGATCTAACAAAACAATCTACAACCAACCTCATTAATAAATAAATGCTTATTCTCTACCACTCGATTGTTACTTAAACAATTAAAATACACAGTTTCCTTTTTGTTTTTACAAGAAATTTGACATTTCCTTTTCTTGAGTTAAATAAAATATTGAAAACGTTTGGATTTGTTACCTTAATGTTCATAATAGACGTTGTATGCTTTAATTCAAGATCTTTCAATGTTTCAATCATTTATTTGTTTGCATTTATTTTCTATTTAATTCAAATGAACACAAGGTGGTTAAAATATTTTTATTTTGTTATGTACTCACAGTTCATACAGTAAGGCTGAGAGAAGTAGTCAGCTACAACACTGTCACAAAATCCCAAGTAGCTACTTGAGTTTGAAGAAACTGTGAGGTCATCTTTTCTTTTTTTTGCTGATGTGGCAAATTCAGAAACCAGTTACAATGTGTCAAAAACTATAGTGGAAATCATAGACTGTATATGGTGGAAATGCAGACTTTGAATACTTTTGTACCAATATTGATTTAAAATGTGGCAGTTTGGTCATATTTAAAAAAGAAAAAGTGGAGCTACAATGTAAGAACTATACGGCTACTCTCTTGTCAAGAGGCCTGCTATTTACAGCTAACTCTACCCCTCAAAGTTAGCAAGTAGAGTTTAAGGACTTTTTGTTAAATGTATATATACATACAATCTATGCTTCAATGGTAAGTATGCATATGTATAACGTTTGAATTGATAGTCACACACACACACACACACACACACACACACACACACACACACACACACACACACACACACACACACACACACACACACACACACACACACACACACACACACACACACACACACACACACACACACACACACACACACACACACACAGCCCCTGCAGGGGGAGACAGTGCCCTCCTCTTCTCAGGCCGGTTAGAAATTCAAAACACAACCGCCTTGCACAATCTCCCGTCCTGCACCGCGGCCCTGAAAAGCCTGTGACGGTTATTTTAATTTAACATAAAAAATAAATAAAAATCACAGGAGCGATATTATTCAAAAGTAACGACGGGGATCGATCGTGCTGGTCCATAGGCACAATTTGATACTTGCAAAATATTGCTGCGCGCTCGTTTGCATTTCTATTTATTTTTTGTGTGTGTGACGGTGTGTGGGGAGCAGAGGAGCAGAGCGGTTGGCGCCACTTTCAAATCCTCCACTGACACAGAATGAGAGTCCGGCTTCAAATACATTCACTTAATTCCTCTTTTCATAATTTACTGTAAGTCGAGGAATATTTTAACATCATTTCGCTGTTGGGCATGTTTCTTCTTCGGAAGGTAAGGAATTCAGTCAAATATTTTTTATATTTTTATTTTATTTTGTCTGAGATACTTTTAAGTTTTTATTAATATATGGTTAGGCAATATACTTGTCTTCCTTCTCATATTTTTTAAGAAAGAACGCTCCTTTGAGTGGTTTTGGTGTTACTGTAGGCTATAGTCAAGCCGTTGTGTAACCTCCTGCTTAGTGGGCAATAATGAGCTGCTGTTTAAAACAAAGGCTGTGTCGCATTACAAACAAAGCTTTACGTGGCTCTATTTTTTCCGCTGCGCATTTATACCTTTCTACATCGAGGCAAGTCTGTTTGAAAAAGTCTTTAGCTCTTTTTCACAAACGGTCAAACATTTACATGGAAGGAATTGTTTTATATTTCTTTACAAAAGAGTTTTAGTGGAGTAAGTTAAGCAAGCGGACACTCCCCCAGTCATAGCCCCCTCCCCAAAGACCCCGACCCACTCCTGCCTGACTAAATAGGCTTTAAAATAACACTTTAATTAAAACGAAGTATTTCTCAAAATGCAGTCCTTCCGAGGCAAAACGAGTTTAATCCAGTTTACAGTTTGAAGGAAAAAAAACGAGAGCGAACTCGTCGTTTTTAGGGGGGAGGAAAAGTGACTCAGCAGTTTCCCGAGGGCTCGCGCTGTCTGTCATCTGTCAGTACAGTGTGAGCAGACTGTCGACAGTCCGACCCATTACTACCGATTCACACAGCTCGTTAGCGACAATGTTACAGGTGCAGTCAACTAAATATACATTAAAGTATCTAATAACCAACTAAGTGGTTTTATTTGTATTAATTATCACCACATTATATCGTTAAATATAATTTTGGCACGACTACCAACAAAATAGTCCCTCATGAACATGCTAGAATGTGGTGTATGCCATATAAAGCTGGGTGTTTCGTTGAACTAAGTGTAATGTTTCAGCAAAGTGTAAAAAAAAATACCAGCACAGTTTATTTGAACTATTATAACCTAAACCTATACATAATAGTAATTTTAACAATGCACAGTGCAGGCAGTTTTTACATTTATAGACAGACACATTTTTCACATCAAATAGTGAAAGTAAAGTAATCGTCAGTGAAGTAATTTGTACCTGTTTTGAGGGTCTCTCATATGAGAATGCATTAATAAGTCAATTCCCCTGGCCCTCTCATAATGCTCAGCAATCATTTAGTTTAGACATCTGTTTTTTATCTTGCCAGCATTCTCACTATGGGATCCAATATACAAATACCAACATTAGCCCTACATTTAAGTATAGGGAGGACAATCATATAATGTCTTGAAAATTCTGTAAAATAAATATGAATTTAAAAGTTTGGGTATACTTTTTTTGAAATATCTAAGGAAAGGGGAGTCAACTGAACCTCGTCTTAATACGAAGAACTTTATTTCTGGTAAAGTTGACTTATTTTGAGATAAATACAGATTGATTGGCTATAACAGGTGCTTAAATAGAAGTAATAGCAAGGGCCGCTTCAATATCATTTTTATACATTTATTTTTTGGAAGTGAACCCTTTGCTCGTCACACCTTAGACGAGAAAAAAGGGATGTCTTCTCATATAGCTTTCTTAGTCTGGGCAACAATCCAAAAACCCCAAAGTGCAATTGAATACGAAAAGAGTCCAGAAAAAGTGGTAGCATCTGAAAACCTGTTCTTAGTGAATTTATTGAGATTTTTCTTGAGTTTATTTTTTCCTTCAATTTCTGTAAACTGTCTGATTACTTATTTAAGTACCACGTCATATTGAAGTAGGTGCTAAAGAGTAGGCTCAAAATGATTTAACAAAAGGACTAATATAGAGGATTCTCGTAATTCTTCTACAAAAATTAAAGGAACAGTGTGCACTGAAAATTAGACTATACAGTGTTGAAAGTGAAATTTAGCTCTTACTGAAACACTGTTCATTCGAAAATATAAACTTGCCTTTTTTATATTCGATTAAGATATATTTATTAACCTAAATGTGCCATGGTTACCAACATGTTCGGATAACCTTCATATTATAGCTCTGTACGTGTCTTTTTATTTATTTAAAGATGGAAATCTGCTGAGCTGTTTAGGGCAGAAACAATAGTCTTTTTATCATCTATTAATTTGACTTTTTGGGGATTTGTCCTGCCTTGTACAAAAGTCAGAAAATGGTCAAAAGTAAAAATCCCATCCCAGCTTACAGGAGCAGAAGGTGACATTTGCAGCTTTCTCGTTTGGTTCGGCGAACATTAATAAGACAAAGATATACAGTTTACAATAATATAAAACGGAGAAGGGCGACAAACCCCCACATTTCAACCTGATGTTGTTTTGCATAATGAATAACTAACAATTAATCTATTTAAAAAAGGTTTTTACCAATTAATTTTAAAGCAGGAGAGCAGTTTAAAGTTAGAGGCTTCACAAAACTAGTACTGGTTATTTAAAGTTGGTGCCATCGCCTGATTTTTGATGTAGATATCCAAACGTATACCCTTGTCTTAACACCTGTTTTCCAATGAAGCCTTTTTTCTTTTTCACATGACAAAAAAGGGCCAACTCTTCAATTCCCCAAGTCTTTACTGTTGTCCAACACAAAATGGTCGTCCCAGAATATTTGATTTAAAGTAGTGTGAAACTTTGACCAAAGCATTCAGTTCCAATCTTTAAAGTGACGTATTGTGATCAAAATGTAAATTTGAAATTTGGGCTGTGCCCTTAAAAGGGACATCTTAGAAAATGATGCAGCCAGTTTGTAATGCCATGCCTTACATTATTATCAACCTGAGGTGATTTGATGGGATTATTCTGGAGACTGATGGTAATTATTTCTGTGTAAGTGAGATAATTTCTAGTGAAGGCAATAAGGGTAAAATCAGAGTGCCCTGTCTTCAGGGGCCTGCCTCTTAGCTCTAACACAAGCTGGAGAATTTAGCTCATTTTGTGTCTTTTTTTAAAGTCATTATTCAGCAGAAAGTATATCCTTGTTCTTTTTTTTTTATGTGCACTTCTTTTTCTATGTGCACGGGTAACAGAGAGGGGGTGGGCAGGGCCTGTGTGTCCTCCTGGTAAAACTGTTTAGTTTGAGAGCAGCACTTTCTGCATTCTGAGGGCCGGCCTCCTTCCCGCCAACTCCCATCTCATGACCAAATTACACAAGAAAATACAGGAGAGCCAGGCAAACATGTATCCCAGCTATCAGTGCGTTTCGCTTCATATTTCTGCTTTTAATGCCCTCTCCACCTGTGCCTCCATTCAGCCCTTTCCCTTCTTTGTCTGGGTGTATAAGAGCCAGCCTGTTGCACTCACTTCCCTCATGTCATTTCTGTGGTTTATGCTTAATATTTTGTAACTTTACTCTTTACTTTTTTTGCATGAAAGGGAAAAGAGCTTCCTCTCAGAGCCACACTTTCTTTCATTTTATTTCCCTCCCTCTCCTCCCACCCT